TTCTTAGCATTATTGTTAATTTTTTAGGTGAGATAGTGGTATTAAGGTTGTATCTATAAAAAAGAATTTTAACTTAGAAATATATTTATGAATGAAATTATTAAAAAATTACTCTTGACCTTGAAATATCACCCTACTTTAAAGCCCCTCTACTCTTAAAACTAAATTCTTCCTTCAAATTACCCATCTTCCCTCTCTCCAGTTCTGTTCCTACCATTCTTTTTTGAACCCATTCCCATCAGGCTTTCACGCTCACTATTCCAATGTTATAGCCAATGGTCAATTGCAGCCCCTTGGAAATTGACTTAGTGGCTCTTCCTGATTTCCTTTCCCATTTCCTCTTATTTCAGTGGCTGCTCTTTCAGTCTCCTTTGGTTTCATTACCATCTCAGTCCCTGAAAAGCTTGAGTGCTCCAGAGACCCTTAGATAACTTTTTAAAATTTCTGTCTACACTGAGTATCTAGATGATCTCATGGCTTTAAATACTCTTTACTTGCTGTCTCCCAAATTTACATATTGAGCCTGGGCCTTTATTCTGAATCTGACTCATATCTGCCTTCTTGATATTTGCACGTGTTCATTTAATAGGCATTTCAAACTTAACATCTCCAAAATTAATCTCTTCCCATTTTAGTAAATGGCAACTCCATTCTTCAAGTGGCTCAGGCCAAAATCTTGACATCTGTCTCGTTTTCTCATACCCTACGCCCATTAATTAATCAGGCAAATCCTGTGTACCACCTTATCTGGATATATCCAGATACCTCATGACCCTCCAGTGCTTGCCCTTTGCCCAAGCCACCTTCCAGTCTCTCGCTTGGGGGACTGCAGCAGCCTCCTAAGTTACCCTCCTCTTGCTCTCCTACAATCTATCCTCAAAACAGAAGTTAAAGTGATTCTTTAAAAATAGAAGTCAAATCATATTCCTTTTCTGCTCAAAACCTTCCAATCGCTTCCCCGCTTACTAAGTCCTCAGTGTCCTAAAGTCACTACACAATTCCGGGGGTACGGTTACCTCTGACCTCATTTCCTCCTTTCCCCTCGACACTGCTTCGGCCACCCTCCTCTTTTCTGTTCCTAGAATGTGGTGGTCATCCTCTTGCCTCAGGATGATTTATGCACTTTTCATTCTTTCTACCTGGAATGCTCTTCTCCCTGATAAAGAACACTTTTCTTTCATTTTTTAAAATATAGCTTTATTGACTTCAGGGAGAGGAAGGGAGAGAGAGAAACATCAATGATGAGTCATTGATCGGCTGCCTCCTGCACACCCGCCTGGGGGATCGAGCCTGCAACCCGGGCATGTGCCCTGACCAGGAATCGAACCCCGATCTCCTGGATCCTAGGTCGATGCTAGCTGCTGAGCCACGCCCGGCCGGGCAAGAACATTTTTTGTTCCCTTGCTTCCTTCAGATCTTTAAGTTTGCTTCTCACGGAGCCTCCCTCCCACCTTGTCATAATTAAACAAAAATGTCTTTCCTAAGCACTCCCCATTCCCCTCACTGCTTCATTTTTCCCACAATAGATAGATATTCCACCTGATACAGTATGTTTTCTTACTTTTCTATCTCTTCAGAGAACAGGGATTTTTTTCCTGCTTTGCTACGTGTTGGCACACAGTAGGTACACAATCTTTTTGTGTATGAATGCTGTTCACAGTGCATTGTTTAAACAGCACTAGCTTCATGGGCCTCTGTTCCTGAGGAAGATGAGACTGACTGAACAGGAACACGGGCCACTCACTCAGACTAGGGTATTTATCTTTGTAAGGGAGCCCAAGCAGAGTGGACTTCTAGAGGTTCAGATGTCAGTGGCAGTCTTGGAACCAGCCACATGACATTAGGTAAGTCGTTTTTCCTTTCTGGCCCTCAATTTCCTTGTCTTCCAAAAGGAAATTATTGCTTTAAGTGTTCTCACAGGATGTTTGAGAATGTAAAAAGTGGTGTGTCTTATTTTTATATTACCTACAAAGATATACTTACCTGGCATTTTACATTTTTAAAAGGCAATAAACATACCTGGAGTTGAACCCGTGTTCTTTTAGGAACCTTAAAAAATGCAGCTTTGCTGTATTCTTATACATCCCAGTATTTTGACAGGGAAAACCTGATGTCAGCCTGTTCTTTCTTCTGAGAACACTCACTCTTGGCATGTGAAATACTTTCACGATTCCTGTCTGAACCAGTGAATAGTCAGTGGGCACGGGTGCTGCGCTCCCATGGGAATTTTGTTTCATAATTACTTGTATGTGGTTGGTGAGCATCCTCTCAGCCCATCTGTAACCCCAAACCTTAATTTTTGCACCTACAAAATGTGGTAAATAACAACTGGCTCATGTTTACCTTGATGGATTTAATGATATATCAATAATTTATCTAAAGTGGTAGTTAATGTATGGCATACCTTAAACCCCCATAAATACTTTATATAGATGGAGTATGTATTAAGCTTCCACTGTCAGTGTCACTTCCTAAAACAGTTCTTTCACCATGTTACTACCCCAAGTGGAGGACCTGAAACAGTAGATTTCTCCACTTGGCTTCAAAATCTTCCCCATCCTATTGAGAGCAAAAGGTATCACTGCCATGTTCCTGGTAGCGTTACTCACAACAGCCAAAAGGGGTAAGTAACCCAAGTGTCCATCATGGTATATACATACAACGGACCACAGGGTGTCCCCAAAAAAGGTATACACACACTTTGAATAATTACAAAGTGCTTGCTGAAATACATTTTACTTTCAAAATTGAGCTATCAGCTGTTAAACGTGCATATACATTTTATTTTTTGGGACACCCTGTATTCTTCAGCCTTAAAATAAGGAAATTCTGACGCATGGCACAACGTGGATGAATATTAAAGACGTTATACCAGGTGAAATACGTCTGTAGGATTCCACTCACACGAAGCACTGGAGCAGTCAAATTTATGGACAGAAAGTAGAACGGTGGTTGCCAGGAGCTGCGGAAAGGGGAATAGGTATAGAAATCCAGTTTTGTAAGAGGTGATGCTGCACCACACTGTAGATACCCTTAACTCGGCAGTACACTTAAGAATGGTTAAGACAGTCAACTTTATGCTGTTTATTTACACTTAGGATGTTTACCCCCATCCCATTCACCAACCCTTCCCTTCCACCCTGCACACGTGCACTCTGCCTGTCAGTGCGCGCTCGCCTCCCGGCGCAGCCACGCTCCCGGCCGCTGCCCGCGGCCCTGCTTCTCCGGAAGGCTTTCTCCACACCTGTCCACTTTCAAAAGGCTGCTCGTGCCTTCGCCCTAAAGACTCCGTCTCTTCTAGAGTCCAGGAATCCAGTTCCCCGCGCCGTCCCAATTTCTACGGATCACGGCCTCTCCCTTTCTGCACTATACAGAGGCGCCTGCCCGCGGCCTCACTGTTGGAGCTTCGCCCCTCCA